CTGCAAACACCCCCTTCTGTCTGGGCTCACCCACACAGCACAGACTGAGAAATCACCTATTCCTGGGAGTGGAAAGGGACCCACATTATGAATGTATTGGGGTAAGCTGAGACAGTAGGGGCACATGAATGCATTAAAATCATATCAGGAAAACCAAGCCCAATAACTTATCAGACACACCATACTAAGGAAGGCGTGTAACTCCTTCATTTGTATCATCAACTGTGGTAAACATTTGGTACTTCAGTGCAACTGCCCTGCTGTTGACTCAGTCTCCCCAGCTGTCCTCTGACATCTACCTGTTCATCCATCTGGACCTACACCTGTTCCTGCAGCAGACCCATCCCAACCTTCCTTCTCTTTATTTTCCTTTCATTTATCTTCTGTTTTCCTTGCCTTTCTTTCTGAAAACACTTGAGGTGCTTGTGACTGAAACCCAGGTCTGTGTGCTAAGCAAGTACTTATCCCTGAGCTACAACCACAGACAAGTTTCCCCGTCACTCCCTTCAGAAAGTGAGGAGCGCCTCTTTCTAATTCTTCAAGTTTGGTTAACTAACCAGTTAACTCCCCAAGGAGAAAGAGAGAGAGAGAGAGAGAGAGAGAGAGAGAGAGAGAGAGAGAGAGAGAGCTATTGATATCTAAATGGGTCCTCACCCCCATCATTTTCTTGAAAGAATTATGAATTTGTTGTGATTAGTGTATATTTGATAAAGACGTCACCAGTGTTCCTGGTAGTAGCCTCACACAGACACGTCTCTCTGTTGAACACATTTAAGTAGATTAAGTACTAACTTTATTCTGGAAACTTTCCAGCTCAAGTCTGAAATATGATCACCAAAGTAGCTGTCAGCCAGAATAAAAAAGGTTTGGAGGCCATTTAGTTAAATAGTGAAACATGGAGCTTACATTCAGGACTATAAAAGTAAAATGGTGAGTATGAGTAGAAAACCCAAAGTTGTTCAGAACCCAGGCTGTAATCTGGTGCATAGAAGGCAGTGGGTCTTTTGTTGTTGTTTTTTTTAACCCATCATAAGGCTTACACCCAACACTCTTGTAAACAGACTGGCTAAGAAGAAAATCACACAAAGTTATTTATGTGAAACTCTAAGTGACTCAGGAGTCTTTAAACTGAAGAACCCAAAGTACAGTTCCACTCTTTTTATGCTTCTGAAGACTGGAGAGTGGTCATCTTACTCAACAAAATGTATGACCTCAGTCATTAACCAAGGAGGGGACCCAGCACAGTCTGTTCAGGTTCTTCTCAAGCATCACACACAATCCCACACATGTAGACAGGAGCCTTCTGGAGGCATCTGCCAGGGAGAAGAGTGGCCTCGTTAGCTTTTATGGCTTACTTGGGGGAAAGGAATTCTAGGTTCTGTAAGAGGAATTAAAATTTAATTTAACAATTAAAACTCTAGATTCTGTAAGAGGAAGAAGGGGTGGTGATTGTATTAGAGGTCAGAGACATCACATCTTAAGTTCTTCCTATCTCCTTGTGCCCAACTAAGCCCAAGAGCTGCGCTGTGAAGTGTCAGACCCTGAGCCCAGTAAAGGAAAGGTCTCAGAAAAAAGTCACGACTTAAGGACCTTCTGCAAGGCTGAGTAAATGATTAGAACTGTGTTCCAACTCTGTCCAGGTCCCTGTGAGTGTGACACTCTGCTCTGCTAGGGGAAAGTTTTCCCAGGGAAAGTGTTACGGTTCTATTCTTCTCTGCTCTGCTGCAGCTTTGGTGAAAGTTGTTACTTCCCTGCTCTATTCTGTGAAAGAAGGTGGTACTCCAAACCTCATTCAAGAAATTTATTGGGAGGGAGGAATCTAGGAGTGTGGCTGCCTCTGCTAGGGTGGAAAAAGGCAGCTCCCAACTGAACAGGTATAGGGAGGGCGTCTTAGGGGTAGAGTTTTTCCAGGTAAAGATTTTCAGGGTAGAAATTGGTCAGATTTCAATCCCTGAATTTTGACAAACTCAGAGATTGTCTGCATTTTATGCTTAGGGATTGGTTGGTTTTCCTGTTCAGGGGCTGGTTGGTTTTTTTGTGCTGAGTTGGTCAGGGGGCAGAGTTTGTTTCTTTGGCTCTAGTTTCAGGGCCAAAGTATGTTTCTTTCACTGGCCCTTTTTAACCTTTTTGTTCTGGTGTTTCTTTGGCTCTGGTCTCAGGGTCAGGGTGTGTTTCTTTTGCCTGCCCTTTTACTGTACGAAGAGTCTAATTTATCTTAGGCTATCTCGATAGCCTCCTTAATAGCCATTACAGGCCTACCTGCATCTGACCTAACATCAGATGAAACTTTTTGGGATGTATTAACTTAGGTGACCACTAGCTTCCACCAACATAAAGCTAGAATGTTATAACATCTGTGGCCTACAGCAAAGGTTTCCTTACTTCCCTGAAACCTGTCTACTTGGTGTTTCCAATATATTTAAAGTGTTTAGATTTATGACTTTTCTTTGTTCTGTTTCTATAAAAATTTCATGAAACTGTTGCCATATTGGAACATGGAATTTGGGGTAACCTAAATCTATGTTCCTTTGCCATGTTTACTCTTATTTGGCTCTAGAATAAATGTTCTCATTTTCTTTAGATAAGAGCCGTATCTTACATAAACAACCACAACAGAACTGATTTGATATGAGCATAAAATTATAATTCATCTAGACTTCATTAGGAGTATGATTTCCTGAGTGGGTATAGTCACTGTTTCAGCTTTCTTTTCCTTTTAACAGATAAAGCTTGTGTTTCTTTCTGGGGACTATCCATGACTACTAGAGACCCTTTGCTGGCAGCACAGAGTTGAGGTGGTGGGGAATTACATTCTCTATTTACTGTCCAACAATTGAGGGGTTTGGGAGGATGAGCATCTAGGCTCCTTGCTTCAGGACAGAGACGTTCCTAATTTACAGAGAATGGAACCATGCAATATGGAAACTGTGTATAAATTTTTTTTAGGTTTATTTTCCTTTATGTTTATGGATATTTTGCCTGCATGCATGTATGTGTATCACATGCATTATTAGAGCCCTTGGAACTATGTGGGTACTGTGAATTGAACCCAGGCCCTCAACAAGTAGTCTTAACTGATGAGCCATTTCTCCAGGGCCTAAATAATCTTGTGTTGAGAAGTCACTCCATACTGTTTCAAGTGGTGATTTTTCCAAGCTGTGCATGGTTCTGGCAGATGCCATTTCACAAGTGCTTTTGACACTATTCTGAGGATGAAGGATAACTCTGCAATTGGGTGGACACATGAATGGTACCATCTATCCAGAACTGAGCACACAGCAGACTGATAAATTCTTGGGGGAGGAAAGGGGACCAGCCATTTATAGGGATGAATGGAGACTGTATAGGCACATGCTCTTTTGCTTCTGCAGCTGGACTCTGAGCTTTGCTTTCATACCAGTGGCCTCCTGTGGTGATTCATTGCTGTTGTAGCGTTTCTCAAGCTCCATTTTGTTCATTGTCTTAATGTTGGCTTCTCAGACCTCTCAGAAAGTCTTGCCTTTATTTAAAGCCATTCTGCAAATTCTCTTTACAATATATAGATATATCCACTGTGTGATGTGTAATGTGGGATCTGAGAACGCTAAGTGGTTTGTTCCTGAAAAGAGTGGATACACATGATTACCCTTGGCAGTGAGGCGCACTACGAGACAGGGCTTTAAGACCTTCAGCTGGGAGAGCAATCAGAAACAGTATGTCAAAAACAGGGTAATGGGGCCTTAAAGGGAGAGGCTTCCCTGTATATCTGGGAGGAAGCTTCTGCCAGTGTCAGTGTACGGAGACAGACAGCTGCCAAGAAAGGACAGCAAGAGAGGTGGGGAGGCCCAAGTCTGCAGAGAAATCCCATGAACAAATCTGCTGTAAATTTTCAGGGGCAGTGTGTTCTATACTGTGTGATTTAGTACAAGATATTATGGGGAGCATAAGTTAAGAGCTGTTAGTCACAATACAGAAAGCTATCTTAACTGTGTTCCATGAAGAGAGCGTTGGGGGTAGGGATGGGATGGTCTCATTTCTTCAGACTTCAAGATCTCCTTTCTGGAGTGATCACTGTCTTAAAGGGGTAAGCTGTAACCTAACCTAGCTATTATTAAAGATTAAATAAAAAACTCATGTTCCTGGCTGGAGGTGGGTGGATCCACAATAGCTGGGGTGTTTGGGCAAATTGCTATCAATGAAAACTGTCATGCCTTGTTAATTTACTGTTATTTAATATATTTGACACTGAGGAAAGACCAAGAGTGTTCATCTATTTCTGACATAGTGCACTTCCCACACCTTCACTGGCAATAAGCACAAAAATGAAAACACAATACATTAAGTTCTCATGGAAAACAGACTGCCTCAAAACCACCTTTTTTTAGTATTATGTTTTCAATAATTTTAGATCACAAACATTAACATTGTGGTATTTATTGGCCATGAAATAGTAATAATTCTATATTATGCATACAAAAATATGATAGAATATTATTTCCGATCTTCTTATAGCTAATTTTAAAATCAAATTATCAGCAAAACATGAACCAATCTTTAAAGATTTAAAAATAAATGACTCATTTAAGTAATGAGATCTCTCTGAAATAGATCCATTGGGCTTTCCTTATCTATGTAATGCCTTACTGATGCTATTTACTGTTACTTTATACATTTTCCATCCTTATTTCTTTTCCTGAATTAAAAAAAAGTAAAATTAGTTGGGTAGTGGTGGTGAATGCCTTTAATCCCAGCACTTGGGAGGCAGAAGCAGGTGGATTTCTGTGAGTTTGAGAATAGCCTGGTCTAAAAGAGCTAGTTCCAGGACAGGCTTCAAAGCTACACAGGGAAACCCTGTCTGGGAAAAAAACAAACAAACAAACAAAAAACAACAAAAAAAAAACCCAAACAAACCAAAAAACACCCAAAAATCAAAACAAAAAAACCCAAGTAAAACTACAATCCATTGGGGCAAACTGGTTTTCTGAAGATACTAAATGTTAGCTAGAAAGAGGCTGAGACACTTCCACTTGAATATATTTTTATTTAGATCAACACTAATAGCATGATAGACTTTCACAAATCTCTACCACGATGCACATAATATTTAAAATATGATGCTGTTCACAATTTGAGTATACCATTATGACTGTTGGGACTAGGCTCAAAGACGACATTTGGATTCCTCAGCTTTGGGATATTTACTGACATTAACATGATTGTCTAGTCACGCAGAGGAGAGAAATTCAAAAGCAGTTTCTTTTTCTTCTGCCAGTTCCTTTGCAGTAAGGTCCATTTTCTCACGTGAGAAGTCATTAATAGGGAGGCCTTCAACAAACTTCCAGGACTTATCCTGTTAGAGAACAATTGCAAGAGATTCAGTTAAAGTGAAAGTCACCTTTCAGCAAGGGACAGCCTAGCTTGAAATGATATCTCAAAGCACAATTGTTTTAAAGTCTAACTCTAAAGAGCTAGTCAAAAACCAGAGTTCACTTTTTAAAATCACAATGGGGATGAAACCCAGCCAGAGTCTCCTACATACTAGGCAAGAGCTCTTCCAGAACACATGACATAGAACCTGTCACAATTATTAATGAACTATAAGCACTTTAGTGTGGGGTAGCAAATGTACCCCATATGAATGAGTATTCATGACATGAGCACCGCCATGTCAAGGACCCCAATGCCTCCAACCCATTGGAATGGCAAGACTTTCCTTCCTCTGGTCCTAGCACCAATATTGACAGTGTATGCAAAAAATATCAGCCACCTCAAACACAGCTTCCTCCTCCTGCTCCTGCTCAGCTATATATAATAAAGGTTCTGAATTTCTGGGATACTGCTGGTGTGACTTCTTCAGGGTGCCTGACTGTCACAATCCCAGCTTTCTGAACATGTCTGTGATTTCTTCATTCCCTCAGGTCAATCCCAAAGCCATGAATATCACAACACTTGGGTTTAAGACTCATTGAGTTTGGACAGGAACCCACAGAAAGTTATAATGAACTATACCATGATTATTAAAGAACAATGTTTTAGTACTCTGTGAGTTTATGAGAAAATAAGATACTCTTTATGGGTACAATACAGAGTTATTAAAATAACAAAGTGTCTAGCAGTAAGAGTTGAGTCTTACTTCCAGATTAATTTTAGTATTAAACTAATGACTTGGTAGTAGAAAGGGATATCTACTGCCAAGTAGATATTCTGTGTGTGTGTGTGTGTGTGTGTGTGTGTGTGTGTGTGTGTGCGTGCGCGTGCATTCCTTTCATGTCATCTCACCTTGATCACGACAGGGAACGAGTAGAGAAGATCATCAGGAATACCATACGAGTTGCCATCAGAGATGACACCCATTGACACGAACTCTCCCTGAAAAAAGATTTACACTATCATGGCACACAGGCTCACAGGGATTGGTTTACAGAACCAACTAACTAAAATGAAATCACGTAACTTCCTTGACTGCGTGCATAACTACTGTTTGAGGAGCCACAGCAATGCTGGCTCACACACATCACCTTATCCACTCTTCCAGATCAGGTGCAAAGTAGGTCACAGCTTCATCACTCTTATTTTTTCTTTTTTAAAGACTAAACAAACATTTTTTATTTTATGTGTATGTGTGTATCTATGCATGCACATGTGCATGCAGGTTCCTTGGAGCTGGAGTTACAGGTGGTTGTGAGCTGCCTGGCATGGGTTCTAGGAACGAACTTGGGTCCTCCACAAGAGAAACAAGCACTCCTAACTGCTGAGCCATCTCTCCAGCCCCAAACATCATCCTTATTTTATAGCTGAGAATCCTGTGGCCAAATCCTGGTTTTAAGAAGAATGGCTTACTACATATAATTGCCTTTAACTTCTAACATCCTTTGTGATGAATGCCATGTAACAGTGGACAACACAGCTTGGAAAGGCTAAGTAACACTCCTGGGCTCCTGGGCTATCAAAGAAATGAACTCTATTGGCATAACTGTTCATTTTACATTCTAGCACCAAGGGACAAAACTGAAGAATGGCCTGTACAAACAAGAACCCTCACCTCTGGGGTTCCAAACCAGATGTCTCTGATGTGGTCAGAGATGGCTTTCGCTGCAGACATTGCACTGGACAGTTTCCGAGCCTTGATGACAGCAGCACCACGCTGTTGCACAGTCTGGATGAGGGCACAGAGAGATAGGGTTATCTGAGCATGACAGCAAAATTCTCATCAGTTCCACATTTACAGTGTTAGTTTTACTATCCTAATTCAGTTATAAGCACCAGCCTTTTTTGGAAAAAAAAAAAAAAAAGTACATTGAACATCTTTGGTGGCCCTGAAATACCACATCCTGGAGTACCTGGTTGCTCCACAGATTTCCAGAATGTGTGGAACTCTCTTGGGCATTGTAAGGCTCGGCAGATGCCATCAGTGTAACTCAGAAAACAGATCTTGGTATGAACAAAACTAGATGGCTCAGTTTTTCTGACTTGGACAATAATCTTGACTGTTACATAAAGGTCAGAATTGATGATGATAATTGTCTTTTTGCATGACTCAAAAGAACACACAGAGTCTGCAGAGCAGCTGTGACACACCAGCTATCCTCGAGGGTCACTCAAGACCCCTGGTCAGACACTCAGCTCAGCAGTGTGGTTTGCCTGTCGCTGACTGACTGCTCAGAGGGCTTAGGCTCTTCTTACCGAGATGAACTCTCCCTTGAGCCAGCTGTCATCTTTGAGGGCTTCATACACACCAACTTCCTTTCCTTGCAATTTCACTTTAGCATGATTGACATCTGGATACTGAGTTGATGAGTGATTTCCCCAGATAATGACATTCTTTACATCCTCAGCAGTTACACCGAGTTTAAGAGCAATCTAGTTCAATTTAAAACAAACACACCAGTTAGATAATTGATTTTTACTGCAAATTGTGACTTGTTTGACAGACGCCCCCAAGTGAAGGAAAAAAGCTTCTGAAACATTAGGCAAAAACAAACTATATGGATTTGAAAAAAAGGCAAATTTTATTGCTCAGCAATATCCTAAAACACTTAATGGTGTCAACTACCATGAACTCTTTTGAAGCATTACAGTGTAGAATAACTAAGAGTAGAGAGCACCCTGTAATTTGTGATTAGATTATCAGCATAGGAAGTTAAAAAACATTGATTAGCAGGTCAACAGATCCTTAACACATAATATGAGCTTTGTTCTGTTATTGCATGCATGGAAGGCCACCTTATTAATTGGGGTCAGATACTTTTGGTATATTCATCCTATTTTGGTGAAATGTTTGTTACATACAATATACAAATTAATTTTCAATTAATCTTAATTAGAGGTACTGGTATAAGGGGCTCATATTACTAAACTGTGACTGTCCCTATGTTATAGATTTGAGGACTAAAATGAGGAGGTTTCAGATGGGGCTTATGATAGAATGGTCACATTCTGAGAAACTCATCAGAAGTGGGAAATATTCTAAGCTGAGATGCATTTAAGACACAGAACACAATGAATACAGCTTAGCATACTTTAAATACACTCACAGCATTTGCACTATCCTATAGCTAAACAAAATCTGCTTATACAGTCTTTTTATAGCAAAATATTAATACATATATGAATATTTGCACTAATATTTATACTTTGGGTAAAAACCCCGAGTGTACTAAGAACTTAGGAGCTCTCAATCCCTTGAATATCAGCTTTAACTATTGATAAACAATGAGGTCAACTGCCTGTAGGCTTCTCCTCACTGGAGGCCCCTTAGGTCCCTTACTTCGTTTGTTCATGTGCCTTTGGTCTCTTACTCCTCTGATCTCTTGAGCTAATAGTCCTTTGGGCAACAAAGGACAGATGTTCTGTGCCCAACAGATGTTGCTTTTGAATGTCAGTCATGTCAGAACCAGTGAAATTAATATATACAAAGGATAACATTTCTTGCTTCCTTAGGCAAACTTTCAAGTCTGTCATACAGATCTGTTAAATTGTTGACTAATTCTCCAACCCTGTGATTTTCTTCTCCCTAACAGCAGTGCACTGTCATATCATCTTGTGCATACATATATATCATGGATATATATATATATATATATATATATATATATATATATATATATATAGTGTAGAGTTTCATATACACAGGAGAATACACAGAAGACAACTCAGTCAGTAGGTAACTAAAGCTTTGAGGTTCTGAACAAATCATGGAGGACTTGTCACAATTCATGAATTGTTGGGTTTAATTACTTCCTGTTTGGAATAACAACATCTCTAAGAGGAAGAAAAAGCTACTTTAGAAACTTCTGATGGCTCTCACTGTACCAGACTGAAACCACCTAGCCAAGAACTTGTGAGTAACAGACTGTGTGCCAAACGTGATGCACCATGAAAAGTTCACTCTTGGTTCATTCATGACTTTTGCCCCAATAAGAGAAACTGTTTCATGTACTGGTACGAGGTGCCATTCTGTGACACTTGGGGAAGCAAAAATGTCCAACTTCTGCTTCTACTAAAGCAGATCATTGAGGAGGTTTGTCAGTGTCATTTTTCTGTAGGAACTAAGTAAGGTCACACCACCTCTACAAGCACAGCAAATTTCTCTTCCCTTCTAACTGTCCTTAAAGGCAAATTGTCCTCCATCTGGATCCTATCCCTTCCCAACCACCACACTGCCTATAGCCTAAAGCATCTCATTGAATATTTAATTACTGTCTAAGTTAACTGGGAAGTTGAAGAAGGTATTTATGGTATGGGCTTTTGAACTTTAGGCTATATAGCTCTTAATAAAAACAAAATAGCAACAAATCTTTACTGTGTTTTATAATAGTATCATGGTAAGGACTAGCAAAATGTATTTAGTTTACTTAATATCACTGTATAGAACACATGCAAGGGTTTCAATTATATATAGGTAAATCTAGAAGGCTCCATCGTTAGTTCTGTGACTTTGGGCAGGCTCCATGATTTCTCTGGGTCTCATGTTTTTTTATCTGTGAAACAAGTACAATAAATGCCTTGCACAGTCACTAGGAGAATTAAAAGCTACATTACATATAAAGCATTAATCTTGTAGTAAAGCTAACAAATGCAAATTACTTATCTTTTACTGGATATTCCAGAGCTTTTGAAAGAGTCAACTCTCAGTGTAAGATAGTGTTTTTTTTTTTTCTTCACTTTAAACTCATATCATTTTCTGTTTAAAAAAATAGTTTTCTAAAAACTAACATAATAAACAGCACAACTCCCATAGAACTATATAGAAGCAACTATTGGTAGTTCAAGAAGGATGGACACAACAGTGCTATAGAAAAGGAAAGAGTACTGTATTTGAGAACTCCAACTTTATCATTACTTAAGAACAGAGAGAGCTGCAGAAGCTAACCTGAATGAGCAGCTTAGCTCCCAATGTTTTGAAAAGCTGTTGTTGATCTAGTAACTGATCCCTTTGACATCTTTATGTAAGTCTCCAAGAAGTAAGAAATAGCTTCATAATTTTAATAATTTCATAAAATATTTTAAGATTAAAATCGAGTAATAATTTAAAATTAAAATCTAATTTTGATTGCTTAGCTGCAGAGAAAATTGGAGCATAAGCACCACTAAAATCTTTTGTTCTATAAGCTTCACATATGACATGATTAAACTAAATTATGTGTCATGTGTTATTTCATTTGTAACTATTTTTGTTATTGTTTTTACAACCCAACCAAATCCCCCCCCCCTAGTTCCAGTTCTTCCCCCTTCATCCCCCATGGATATCAGCCAGCCATGCTATACAGTGAGACTAGGCACCTCCTCTTCTGTTAAGGCTGGATGAGGCAATCTAGTAGGAGGAATGGGTCCCAAAAGCAGGCAATAGAGTCAGAGAACACCTGCTCTCACTGTTAGGAGTCTCACAAGACCAAGCTACACAACTGTAACATATATGCAGAGGTCCTAGGTCTCTCCCATGCAGACTCCCTAGTTGTTGGTTCTGTGAGATTTCTTGTGTTGCTCTTGACCACACTGGATCCTACAATCCTTCCTCCTCTTCCACAGAATTCCCCGAGTTCTGCCTAATGTTTGATTGCGGGTCTGCATCTGTTTCCATCAGTTGCTGGGTGAAGCCTCTCTGATTACAGTTAAGCTAGGCATCAACTGGTTCTCATTGGTCTGACCTGCCTTGTAAACAATTTTTAACTACTATAACAAGGCAACTTAGCAACTGAATTGAATTATAATTGGTATACACACACACATATATAAAATCAGTTCACAACTGGTTACTTGAAGATAAAACTAAGGAGGAAGGTCAGCCTCTGGTCTTCAGAGAGTAAATTCAAAGATTGCCCAACTTTTAACTTAAACAAAGGAATAGTTTCCTGCTCAACAAAACAAACACATAAACCAAAATTTAATTATTTTAAAACTTAAAAAAAGAAAATGGTTTCAAATCCTAAGTTTTAAAAGCCATTTTTCTTACCTGAGATTTTGCTCTGTTGTGGTCCAAGCGAGTCAGGCAACTGAAGTTCTCCTTGGGGATCGATGGGGCTGACTTGGAGGCGGTCAGGCAGTTTGTGTTGGCTGGGTTCCCCACAACAATGACCTAGGTGGGCAGGAGGCACAAAGACACACAGACCACACACCTGACTTAGAACGTGACTAAACATGTCTAACAGGCACCTATATGTAAGATTTCTAGGACATATATGTTAGTTTGCAGTTGGCAATAACCACATCTATATGTTTAACTATGGAGACTGATCATTCATCTATTTACCATAAAAAGCAAGAAATCTAAAGCTTCACCTCATAGTTTGAATCATTCATTTTTTTTTTTTCCCCAGAGACAGGGTTTCTGTGTAGCACTGGCTGTCCTGGTACTCTCTTTGTAGACAGGCTGGCCTCGAATTCATAGAGATCCACCTGCCTCTGCCTCCTGAGTGCTGGCACTAAAGGTGTGCACCACTACTGCCCTGCCATAAAAATTATTTTAAAGTTTTTTTTTTTAAAGGAAATCAAATTTTCTTTGTGAATTAAATGTTTCTTAAACTGGTTTAATCCTAAGAATTACCTGGGCTATTTGCGACAATAAAGACTGTCTTCACATTTCTAAATCTGATGAATCAAACTTACACATACATTTTTTTTTGTCCCCGTGAGCACCAACTGCCTCCAACTATCCCACTGTGTGAATATTTCCCACAACAAAGACTTTTTTTTTTTTTCTTTTTTGCAGAGGTGAAATTACCTTGTAAACAGAACCACAAATCCCAAGCAGGCCAGATTTTGCCAGTCTGAATACCTCTGAATTCTTACCAAGAGACCAGTGTGTTCCTAGTAGTTTTTATTTCTTGTTAATGATTACAGAGAAAAGGTAACTATTTAAAATGAAATCTCCAGAAAGCAAAATGTAGACAAATACGATGTATTATAAATAGGTCACTTGTAAAGAGTGGTTTTGGAGCTGGGTGGTGGTGGCACATGCTGTTTATCCCAGCACTCAGGAGGCACAGGAAAGTGGATCTCTGTGAGTTCGATGCTAGCCTGATCTACAAAGTGAGTTCCAGGACAGCCAGAGCCATTACACAGAGAAACGATTTTTTGAAAAACAAACAAACAGAAAACTCAAAAGAGTGGTTTTGGACTATTAAGACTAATTTAGAATTAATATAAACACCTACAGAGATAGAAGATGGAGTCATGCCAACTCAGTTTAAGAGACAAACTGTAACAATTCTATCTGGAAAATATGAACACTTAGAAGCTGCATTTCCTATGACTGAGAACAAAGGCATTTAATAGCCATCTTCCAAAACACACAGATGGATCTAAAGTTCTCAATAAGTTCCCACAGCACAGGCACAAGGAAAGCGTCTTCTCAGCAACCTTTGTATAGACTAGAAACAAACACAAGCAATTCTTCTGGCATATAAACATTAAAAGTCCAAGTTTTGAAAATGCAAATAAGAAAAACTTCCCTGAGGATCTCTGTGAGTTCAGATCTTCTGTGAGTTCAAGGCCAGCCTGGTCTACAGAGTAAGTTCCAGGACAGTCAGGACTATTTTACAGAGAAACACTGTCTGGAAAAACAACAACAAAAAACAACCAACCAACCAACCAATCATCCAACCACAACAAAAGACAAACAAACAACAACAACAACAACAAAAAAAAAAAAAGAAGAAGAAGAAAGAAAAACATCCAGTAAAACATGCTGTTAGTCACCTTAACTGATTTCTTGGCATATTTCTCCAAGGCAGCACCCTGGGCTTTGAAGATTCTGACATTTGCTTTCAGTAGGTCTTTCCTCTCCATGCCTTCCCTTCTTGGCATGGAGCCCACAAGGACAGCCACATCCAGGTCTTTGAAGGCAACCTCTTCTTTGTCTGTTGCAATGACATCTGTGGGTATGGCAAAAAACACAGTTACTTAAATGTGCAAATTTCCCTTTTCATAATGAATCTACTTATTCTTTTATAAACTGTGGTAAATGTTTATTTTTATAGTTCACATTGATATACTTTTCAGAGGCCTAAAACAAAAACATAATACATTCATTTAGCTCCTGTAAGAACATTGGAGAAAGTCAGTAATTATTTTGTATTTCTTACATCAATAATTACCTCAATTAAAATAGCTCTATAGCTTTTATCATTTACATAATTATGTAGGATGCAGAGCCTTTGGAAATGGCAGTTGTTGTTTTCATTTAGTAGCACAGATAACACAAAAGAGAAACCAATTCACCTAGCCTTCAGATTGTAATCATTTCAAGGTTTAAGAAACCAACTACCAATTGAAAAATGTTTACTGGGACATACTGTACCAGGAATAATGCTAAGCATTGTATTCTATCAAACGTAATCTTCATATTTCACAGATGAAGAACTAAGGCATAAGGAAATTAGTGCCACTATGATAAGATAGGGAGGTCAGTCCAGGGTTCAACTAGAATGTCATATTGTAAATCTGACAAACACATATAACTTGTTTTTTGATCAAGGAACATGCAATGCTGCTTTCCTTTCAGTGTATTAAAAAGGCCATGGCCAAGAGTCAGCATTTCTACATGTAAAGTCTTAGGCCAGTAAACACATGTCAGTCAGTTTGCTGAATCCCCAAATGGAGGAACCTCAGAAGAATGAAGAGTACCTGTCTTCCTCTTCAGCCACACATCCTTTGTTAGGCCTTCCCCTCCCTGCCACATTTATAGCAGTCTGAGGAAACACTGGTCCACTAGTGACAGCAGAAGGAATCAGCAGAAAAGGGCATGTAACTGGAAAATGCCAGAGGAAACTGACTTGGAAAGGGCTGTGGGTAAGGAAAAGGAGCCAGCAGAAAAAGCCTGGCACAATCAGGTATTCCTTTAGACTCTATAAAGTTTAGAGCCACACAACCCACAAATGATCTGGACAGGAGAGTCTCTCTTCTAGGAAATGACTGACTAGACATAGATTCATGTTTTTCTTCAAGGTGCACAATATGAAGGACAGTTCACCTGTCTCAACCCAGTGCTTGGCAGATGAAAGGGGACATGTATGAGGGTTCAACTAATGCCTAAAGCAGCACACAGCCCTGGAGAACATCCTTTGGAATGGAAAATTTTCTGTTACAGGATGCTACTATCACTTCTAAATAGACTTCAAATAACAGGACAATGCAAACAACCTGGAGGGATAATCCTTGAGCATATTATATCTAATTATCTGTAGATGTAAGAGAAAACAAGCCCTTGACTTGCCACTGATTGTTTCTTGCTTTTGCACTTATGAATTCTTGGTATTCATGTTAAAAAGCAGTGTAGCTCAAAAACCAACAAAAAATACTTTTCTAATTTCTAATTGACAATCTTTAATAAGGATCTAAAGTAAGATACAAAGTGCCAAATAATCTGTTTCCTCTGACTCCTCTACTCACCTTTCAGAAGGGGAAGAGCACAATCTTGCAGTTCCATCAGAACACCGTCCAGAACACCCATCATGGGGGTGATATCCAGGAGCACAAGAATGATGGGCTGCCAAAGAACAAGAACAGCAGTGCCAGTGTAGGGTATAGTACCAAAGAGCAAGGACAGCAACGGCGGTGTAGGGAATGGCACCAAAGAACAAGGACAACAGTGTCAGTGAAGGGTATGGCATTCACTCTCATACAAAGTCCTGCTCTAGTTGTTTGTATATATTTATCGTCCACTAATTAGTCATAATTATGGAAGGGAGATGCCATAGCTTGCTTTTATTAGCAGTTATAGGTATGATTTCATTTTAGATCGCTAACTATAGCTACAATATCTGACATGAAGGGAAAATTCAACTATTTGTAGTTCAAGAGAAAGAATTAATACTTTAGGAAAGGATTTTAGTGTACAGAAATAAGACTTGTTGGAATTGAGGGTGCCTGTTTCCTGTGAGGTACATTTCTCATCTGATTATTTGGTTTCAAAACAGCATTGTTGGAAGAAAGGACAGATTCAACAACTTTCTCAAAGGACTCCCCCTCCCCACAGTTACTCTCATCAGTGACATACTATTACTTGCTGTTTGTACTAAGTTGAGTAAACACATCAGGTGTTAGAACTCTGATTTCAAATTATTTTTAGTGCCTGCAGGGAAGCCTATAAACATCTTACTAGCTTCTACATACAACAAAGGGCGTATTACAGTTTTGGGACTGCCTATTCATTCACCATTTGCAACTAGATACAGAACCCTTTTACTACAATGCCTAGGTTTATAGATATGCCCCTACCTGGTCTTTACCAAACACAGATCCATTTCCAATACTGTACAACAGTGAATATGCAATTTGGCCAGCTGCTCCAGTCACAAGGACTCTGATTGGTTCCGACTGTAATGAAAAAGACACAATCACAGCTTATTAAAGTGTAGGTTTAATAAGGCAAGAGCATGAGAGCCAGGCGTTGGTGGTGCCCACCTTTAATCCCAGCACTTGGGAGGCAGATGCAGGCGGCAGATATCTGTGAGTTCGAGACCAGTCTGGTCTACAAGAGCTAGTTCCAGGACAGGCTCAAAGGTACACAGAAAAACCCTTTTTTGAAAACCAAAAAAAAAAAAAAAAGAAAAGAAAAAAAATATTTAAAGTATATTGGGTGGTATATACATGACACAGCATGCTACAACTTGTGGGGGTTGGATTTTTTCCTTTCATTAGATGGGTCCTGGGGATTGAACTCAGGTTGCCAGACTTGGCAGCAAGCACTCTTTACCCACTGAGCCATCTTGCTGGTCCAAGCCTTTAAGAAAAAAAAATTTTAAGGAGATAATTATTAGTATCTGGAATATAATACATTTTAGTATTAAAGACTACACTAAATCACAACAGCGATAGCTGACAATCTGATTCCAAGGGGAAAATTATGTTTTAAAAGAAGGAAGAGGAACCATAGAAAAAGTACAATAGTTATATAATAGAAAAAAAAAGCAGCTCTACATACTAAAAGACTTTGAATAAAATAAGACACACAGACTAAAATTAACAACTGCATTTAAAATGAGGGCTGAGTAATGGAAAAAGTTTAAAATAAGCTCAGTGAATTTATAGAATAGAATCAAGATAAACTGCTCTCTTCCTTGACAATGCTGAGCACTGTACTTATACTCCATGTCACCCTGATCCCTCCTTGCATGAAGAAATGACCCAGTAAACTGACTGGGCATAGAAACACTTGGTTTCTGTTTGTTAGAACAGCATCTTCTAGGCGAGTCATCTGTCTGAGGGGAAAAATGGCTGACCTGCCACCAACAGTACTCAGAGACTTGGTCCCCACCTACGTCTAAAAAGAAAATTCAGGAAATAAGTATTAACTGTTACAAGAAATAAATTTGATCATAGTAGATTTTACTTGCATTTCTTCCTCAAAAACATGCTCAGGATAGGAGTAGAAAAATATAATCAAAGATAAAAACCTCAGAAAGCTATGGTGAAAAATTCTCCTTGATCCCTGGATCTCTCCCCTATTTTTTTCCGTATCTCTAGATATAGTAAATTTAATATCTATATAAGCCACTTTTAATAAAAATATCTATTTATATTAATATGCACTCAGTAAAACATGTGTTTATGTCAAAAATAATAGTAACATTATCCTATATGGTTACTTTCTGCTATACATATCTCTATGATACTTGTGTTGTGAAATGTCACTACTGGGAACCATGACTGTAACAGAACTGTATATATATTTCACCTTGTCATCTTTCCTTCTGAAGTTGAGAAATGAGAAGGGAGAAGTTGTTTCCCTCTTTTGGGGGCTTTGCCTATTTCATCTTGCTACAATCTGAATTCGAATCACTGCTACGTCTCAATCGATAGATACAAACAGGTGCACAGCTAGAACTCCAGTACTTGCTTAAAAAAAATAGCTGTGTCATGTAAATATTGCTATCATAAAGACTGAAATGTACATAATTGGAAGCAAATTGAATGTACTTTAAAAAAGTGAAGATATTTTATTCATGTATAATACATGTGATGTGAAGGCAGGAAACTGAAGGACCTTATTTCAGCTGTAATAAGCAAAACCATGTCATAATTTTTAAATGTTATTATATTTACTTTAGTGTGTGGGTGGGGGAACACCATGGACATTTCCTCTGAGAGTCCTACAGTTTGCAGTTATATATTTACATGTCTGTCACTTAGCTAGACTGTGATGTTCCCCTGAGCAGTTTGCCTGATTAAAATTTGCACTCTTCATACAGGTTTCAACATATATTTACTGAATGAATAATGTAAAGGTAAAGCTAAATTGTAGAGATAAAATAAAACAAAAGTACAATGATATCTAGGCATGGTGGCACATGCCTGCAATCCTAGGGCTGGGAGGTGAACATGAAGGTCAGGAGTTCTAAGAGTGGGGCCAGTATGGGCTACATGAGACCCTGCCTCAAAACCAAACTGCAAAAGACCATTGTCCCCTTCTCCCCCATTTGACTTCAACAGTGTAAAGCAAGCAGGGATAAGAAATGAGGGGCAGCTGGGAGGTGGTGGCGCACACCCAGGAGGAGGCCAGACTACTCTATAGAATTCTAGAATAGCCAAGGCTACACAGAGAAACCCTGACTTGGGGAGAAAGTGCCAATCACATCTATAAAATTTAAACTTCCAGAAAGTCTAGTTGATGGTTAGAACAGAGTAATGTAGTCATTCATCAAAAATGTGTTCCCCATAATCACAGTCTGTAGTGAAGAGGCCAACTAATCAACAGTTGATTCTACTGTAGCGGGTTCCTTCTGTGTCTGGACAATTCCATACTATCTTGGTATCTGATGATGAAATAGGCAAAGGAAACACCAGTTTGATTCTTATTGCTCTCCTGAGACATTAGTTGGAAAGCAGGAGGGTAGGAGAGTCCCACTGACTTCCCACAATGCAATAGTGCCAATGCAGGTTACTATTCTTTGCTCAGATATCTGGGCATTCTGCCAAAATCCAAAAAGGAATGGCTTTTTTTTTTTTTTTTTGGTAGGGCATTAACGACCTTCCTGAGGATACAGGCTGTCTTAAAAAATGCACTGTTTAGTTGAAAAGCTTGAATTTTCGTTTTCCCTGTTATTCCATAGAGCAGCATTCCTCTTTTTACCTTCTAGTTTACATGTATTACTGTAATATAGAAGAGAAGGGTCATTCAGACACCTCCAGGTATTCTTAGGTCATTCCCTTATGATCAACGGCAAAGAGATCCTTTAAAAAATGCTTTTGATTGACTTACAAAAAAGACAGCTTTATTTGTGAGACAGGATTGGTCTTTCTATGCAGCCTTGGCTGGCTGGAACTTGATATGTAGACCAGGTTGATTTTGAAACCATAGAGCTCCTGTGTCTTTGCCTTCCAAAAGCTGCAATTTAAGGAATGCACCACCACCTTAAGTGGAACAACAGCTTTTTTTTTTCTAAATCAGTAATTTGTTCATCTACTCTTCCCAAGAAATTCTGTAATGCTAATGAGTCCTGGCATTACAAAAGAAGATCTGAATCATCGGACACTGCAACATGACAGAACTCTTCTATCTGGACTATTTCATGTCACCTGGCACAGATGTGACCTCTGTCTATTGCATAGGGAACACAAGACTATAATTAGGGGCCCTGGATCAATATGACCTTGGGAAATCAATAACCTTGATAGGCTGTTTTAAGATTAGATGAAATAATCTCCAAATTCCCTTTAAACTTCACAATTCCAATATTCTGAATGATGAGGAATAAAGCTACCTGATATTACAATTATGGGTTTGTATCTTCACCGGTAACTTCAGCTACTGACATTACAGAGAGACTTGATAAATGCACAATGCAGTCAAGGTAAAACGGGAAGAGTTAAGAGCCCCCAGGTGCAAATTCTGTGACCTTGAGAGACTCACATTCTGGGTTGCAAAATCTAACTTTCAGTATTTTAAGTGGGTTTTTGGTTAAGATGGTTTCTAAAAGGTCTTCATTTAGATCTGAAAATTTAAAGTCTAAAGTTCTTTGATAACTACCCCCGTTTTATGACTAAAATCATTACAGCAGAAACCGATTAAGCCATAATTTAAATAACTACTCATGTGCCAATATAACTAGACAACAATGACTGAGGATTAGTAGTTGTCCCCTTATGGTCTCTTATAGAGGTTAAGGGAGTTTTTGTCCTTGCTTTGAAACATGTTTCTTCAGGCTCTGCGAAATTTCCAATTCATCCAAATTATTTTCTCACACTTCCCATCTCGAGATTAAAGGACAAAAACTATTTTCAAAATATAAATTCTAAAGCACGGCAGCAATTTCCAGTCAGGTGGTAAATGTCACCTTCAAACAGCACGCAGATTATTCTTACGTCAGAGTTCCTTCACCCTTCCGCCCCCCTCCCCCCTTCAGCTGGGACAAGACAGGAAGATCCAGCGATCTAGAGCTTCAACAAGATGGTTGCGTTATGTCTCCAAGTAGGCATTCTGCAATGCAAGGCAGAATAGCAAATTGTTTGGTTAGCGATGCTAACGAGTCTTGGCATTACAAAAGAAGATCAAGAATAGGTTTTCAGTAACATTTTCTTTTTCTTTGAAATTAGATGTGGCGGAAACATGTCTCCTGAAAACTGGGGTCATAACCTGGAGTACTACCTAAATCAACATCACAGGCCTACTGCTTCCAAGAGCTTAAGGGGCAAAATAGAGGTTAGGACCCAATTCATTCCCTCCCATCAAATCTCATCCCCGTCAAATCCTTTAACGTCCTTCGGAGAAATTTTGTCCCTCAGCCATGCGTCAGGGTTGAGACGCGCCTCTCCAAGGGCAAGGACTTCTCTAGAGTCATTTTAAGAGCTCCCAGATGGAAGCGAACCCCTTTCCAATTACTGGGTCACTGCGACAGTCCGCGGGGATGAGTCGGGTTTTGCAAACCGCGCGAAGGACAGGGCCCGGCATTACTGCTTCTCTGAAGGGCATCAAGCGCCGGATGAGGACAACAGGCCAGAGCTGCTGCAGGATCCAGGAGCCCACACTCACCATTATTGAGAACTGCGAGGCCGACTTCTGCACCTGCAAAGGATGTCTCCAGGAGTCAGGTCACCTCTACAGCGGAGCGGACTCTGGGAGAGAGCGCTGTGCTCGCCAGGAAAGGTTTGGTGCATAGAACCTTGCAACACGAAGAAGAAAAGCCGCACTTTCTGGGAAGTGTAGTTCATCCGGCGGGGCTCTGGCGCCCACCTCCGTGCATTCCTGACAGTGAGAAACTACAATTCCCGAAAGGCCCTTCTTTCTCTTCGCTTCGCGGACTGCAAAGTAGTCCCTGCGTATGAGCGTCTGGGATTGGAGGACGTCCGTAAGCGGAGGGTTTGTGCTGAGGTTGAACCGCCTGACTGATGGCGCTCAGCAATTGGCGGGAGGGGAGGCGTTAACTCGAGGGAGGAGAAACGACCCCTGAGCGACAGCACCCGCTGCTCCACCGAGACTCTATCCTCCCCCAAGGCTAAACAAGGGAGATTGAGACCTTACGTTGCGTAAAGCCCGTTCGACCCGGAAACAAACCTTTTAAAACCCACTCTCTCAGGGGCGGGAGGAATCGATGCGTCCGGAAGAACGGACAGCTTCACCGTTGCTAGGCGACAAGGCAGGCGCACCTGGACTCTCTCAGGACCAGGACCCAGTGGAGCTGCGTCCCTAAGCCGGAGGCAGGTGAGCTCTGCCCCGAGAGTTTTTCTCTTCATCTTGGGTCCAGAACAGGGCGCGGCGCTTTCGCATGTTGCCGGAACCTGGGTCGGACCTAGCGGGCGGGTGTGGGCGACCTCCCGGGTTCCTTGTTGGTGTCAGGAGCTTGTGGTTGCCACCCACCGTGTTCCGGAGAGAGGAGTGTCCTGCTCTTTGAGCCAGTGCGGCTTTTCCAAAGTCAAGTCAGAAAAATTCGTTTGTGCAGTGAGCCTCTTCCTTGCAGGAGCTTGTGGCACATAGATCTAACTTTCTCTGCCTTCCGCAAACTTTGACACTTTTGACTCGTTCTCCTTTTGGAAACCGGTTTGCTTTAAAACATCTTGATAAAGTTATGCCAAACTCCTGTTTCCAAGGGGGGTTGGGAGACACTGGTTGTTTCAGGCAGAATGTTAGCGGCTAAAACAGCTGAAGAGGCTTTCGTTTAAAATGAGTTTTACTAAGGAAAGTGCTGTATTCTTCGTTTGTTTTGTGTGGATATTAGAAAAGACGTGGTGCTTTGGAACAGACCAATGGATATGCTATTGGTCTAACTTCAGGGTTTTCTGTTACTAGTAAATGAATGCTGAGAGGCTTCAGTTTTGTTTATGGAAGATTTACTATTTGGAGAAAGAAATTATAATGCCTTAGGGTCCGTCTTAGTTATGGTTTCCATTTCTGTGATGAAACACCGTGACCAAAAGCGAGTGGGGGAGGAAAAGATTATTTGGCTTACACTTCCACATTACAGTCCATCACTGAAGGAAGTCAGGGCAGGAACTCAAATAGGACAGGAATCTGGGGGCAGGAGCTGATGCAGAGGCCATGAAGGGGTGCTGCTTACTGGCTTGCTCCGCATGGCTTGCTCAGTCTGCTTTCTTATAGAACCCAGGACCACCTGCCCAGGGATGGCCCCACCCACAGTGGATTGGGGGCCCTCCCCAAAAATCGCTAACTAAGAAAATGCCCTACAGGCTTTCCTATAGCGCGATCTTGTGGAGGTATTTTCTCAATTGAGTTTCCCATCTCTCTAATGATTCTAGCTTGTGTCAAGTGGACATAAATTAGCCAACACACTGATTGATGTGGCTGGTGCCATTCCTGGACTATAGGCCTAGGTTGTGCATGAAAGGTATCTGAGTAAACCAGCAAGCATTGTTCTTCTATGGCCTTTGCTTCAGTTTCTGCCTTGGCTTCCATTAATGATAGACTTTGATGTGGAAGTGTAAGTTGAAGTAAAGCCTTTTCCTCCCACAAGTTGCTTTTGCTCAGTATTTTATCATAGTATTTGGTGGAAGGAAGTTATCACCCAGAGCAGAAGCACCAAAAAAATTTCCTCCAAACCTTATGTTATCCAGTCATCTTTAAAAAAATATTTCTTATTTTTTGGATTATATTTATGGATTCTTCAAGGAATCGATTCTTTCACCATTGGGTTTCCTGTGGCATGCGTGACTTATGAAATGCAGACTGACCAGCAATGAACCTTGCAACACGAAGAAGAAAAGCCCAATTTTTACCTCAAACATTGCCTTTTATCCTGAAAGAATCCATGTTTACAATCCTAATGTGTTTATTTATAAAACTGTTCAGGTTCAGATTGTACCAGTAATGGAGGTTGGAGAAAGAGGAGCCTACTGATGCATTCGTATATATTTTTAAATAGGTGCTTCTGGATTGTGGTGGTTTGAAGGAGCATGGCCCCCATAGGCTCTTATGTTTGAATCATGGTCCCCAGTTGGTAGAACTAATTGGGAAGGATTGGGGGTGGATGGGCTTGTTAAAGTTGTGTCACAGGGGAGGGATTTAAAAGCCTCCAGCCATCCTCAGTGCACTCTCTGCCTCCTGTTTGAGGTCTGAGATGTGAGCTCTCAGCTGTTCTGCTGTGATGCCTTCACTCTGCTCGTGGACCCTGACCCTCTGGAACTGTAAGCCAAATTAAATACTTTTCTTTATTCATATATGATTTTTATGACTCATAATAACTTTGTCTATGTTGGTGTCGCTATAACACAATGAATGGGTTAAGCAGCAAATGTTTTTTTTTTTTTTCTCATAATTTTTGTGGCCTGGAAAGTGCAAGATCACAGTATCAGCAAATTTGGTTATTTGTTCACAGATAAATGGATTTTCTTTACCTTTTTCATATGTAAATCTTTATGGAAGAAGCATCCAGTCCATGACACTGTGTTTTATCTTGAGATACTTTGTATGAATTGTCTCTTTTCTAAGTTCTTAGTATTAAACATTCTTTGTAAATTAAACTTTCATTCCTGTTGGAGGAGAAAAAGTGTTCCTGGAATTGGCTCCCATGATAGGCCCTAATTAAAAAGACTGAAACTGAGGCACTTATGCAGAATTTCATAATCTAACTGAAACTTCAAGGAAGCCAATAAATTACCCATTGGAAATTTTTTTTTTCTGAAAAGAGATTTTTATTTTACCTCAGAGTGGATAATGAAGTAGACCCATTTAACTTCTGTCATCCTTCCTAAACAAATAATAAACACCAAAAAAAATTTCCTCCAAACCTTATGTTATCCAGTCAGCTTTAAAAAAATATTTCTTTTATTTTTTGGATTATAATAATACCACTTCCCTCTTTTCTTTCTTCCCTTCAAACCCTCCCATATACCCCTCTTGCTTGCTCTTATTTTCTCTTCTGTTTCCTTGTTCTTTCCTTGGAAAACCTAGTATTTTTATCTTTGCTCAGTGGGAAATCTCATTCCATTTTGTAGGATAGATTCTGCCCAGACTCTTGAATTACAAGTAAAACCCAATTTAACCGGTAACTAAATTGCTGTGATTTTGGCTGGCACCTTTACCCTTCACACCAGTGTGTTAGGTGTTCATATCACACAGCTCTTTTCTCTCCGTTGCTTCCGCTCCTTGCATGAGCTCAGGCTTCTTAATAGCCAACTTCAAGTTCTTTTCACAGTTTTCCATTTCAGATTCTTTTTTGCCTTAAGTCTTTTTCTTATGTTTTCCTCATGTGTGTGTGGTGTGTATGCATGTTTGCATATGTGTGAGTGCATGTGTGTCTGCAAACACTTATGTGTGTTTAATGTGGTTAGATGCCCAAGGTTGACTTTAGGAGTCTTCTTTGATCTCTCTCCACCTTACTCATTTCAGCAGGTTCTCCCAATGAACCTTCGCTCACCTACGCAGCTAGCCTAGATAGCCAGCTTGCTTCTGGAATCTCCTGTGGCTGCCTTTTACTTCTGGAATTCCAGGTGGGCCACCATGCCCACCTGGTGTTTATGTGGATCCAAATTCCTGTCTGTATGCGTATACAGCAAGTGCTTTAACCACTGATCCATTTTCCAGCTCTGGTATAAATGTTTTAAAACAATGAGCATGACTATATCTGGACAATATCTAGGAAAATGATAGATGAGTTTATGTTTATATATCAGTATTTTTACATAAAAATCAATTAAGAGTGATGTAAAACAAGGGTTTTTTTGCAGTGTTTTGTGTTAGTAGTTGGAAAGGGGAAGTATGGAATGATTGATCTATTATTAATAATTCATGTGACTTTTTATGACTACAAAATATATCCACATGTACAAGAGTAAATACCAGCACATTTTACCCACAAGGCATCCTAGGGCTTACAAGGTCTTTATAGTATAAAGTTATTTATTCTCATACTGATTTTATTTGTAGTATATATGGAATTTAAGCCTTTTGTTGTGTTTTGTTGTTGTTGTTTGAGACAAGATCTCAAACTAGTCCAAGTTGGACTAGCATTCGCTATGTAGTTCAGGATGGCCTTGAACTCACAGCATCCCTCTCTCCATAGCCTCCGAGTGCTAGGCTACAGGTGTGAGGCACTGCCCCCAGCTGGAACCTTTATATAACTAGTTTGTTATAATCCAATTTCCTCTTACTGAGAGTAGTTGAGTAATAGGCAGTAAGAGAAAGAAACCCTTGCTGTTGGCCTAATTAGCTGCATTTTTACAAATCTGTACTTTGCTACTGCAGCCATGTATAACACAGGCATGATAACACAGCCACAATAGCTGTGGTAGGTAGTAGAGTGTGCATAAAGATAGGATCATTTAAAAAGGGAGGTTAAGATTTGTGAGATAAATCAGAAACTTATCATTATAAATATTTTTAAATGAAAGATTATTCAGGCCTAAATAATGATTTAGCTAAAAGAAAGTCCTTTTTTAAAACATAAGACTGATGTGATTAATCTTGGAAATTCTTTTGGTTAGATGATATGCAGAACTTTTTTTTTTTTTTTCAAGACAGGGTTTCTCTGTGTAGCTTTGGAGCCTATCCTGGCACTTGCTCTGGAGACCAGGCTGGCCTCATACTCACAGCGATCTGCCTGCCTCTGCCTCCCAAGTGCTGGGATTAAAGGTGTGGGCCACCAATGCCCAGCTGGTATGCAAATATTTTAAAAGTAGGAAGTCTTGCCTGGCAATCCCACACACCTTTAGTCCCAGCACTAAAGTCGACAGGCAAGGTAGGTGGATCTCAGTGAGTTCGAGACCAGCCCGATCTACAAGAGCTAGTTCCAGGACAGCCTCCAAAGCCACAGTGAAACCCTGTCTCGAAAAACAAAAACAAACAAACAAACAAACAAAAAACCCCAAAACAAAACAAAAAACAAAAACCCCCCAAAAGCAGGAAGTCTTTCTAAAATGGATATGTAGAATTTTAAAAACAATTATCACATTTACTTCAGTATGTCTCAAGCACAGTTAAACCTCAAATCAAACTTAGTCAAGGAAAAAAAAATCAAGTCCTAATAATTGAATTTAAAATTATAATCACATTGAGAACTGCTTTATTACTATTTCATATATACAGACAGTTTATGTATATCCCATAGCACACTTGTACAGAGGCACATACCCATATTCTCTTACAAGGAAACATGGCATATCTGCTGTGTAGACTGTTCTGTCTTTTGTGTCCTTCCGGCTTTGATGAATCTGCTGGTGAAGCAGTTTAACTGCAGAGATTTGACCAGCATTTTCAGGAGCGCTCAAGTACAGAATGTTCTAACAGGACCAACATTTTGGTCATGTGATCTTCGTGCAATCAAGAACTGAACTGAGTGGAGTTAGTAGCTAGGTCATTCTTTTTGTTAAAAGAAAGTTTACTGCATTTGTATTTATTATATGAAGTGTGTGTGTGTGTGTGTGTGTGTGTGTGTGTGTGTGTGTGTATGTATGTATGTGCATTAAGTACATGTGTCACGTCATGCACATGGAGGTCAGAGGACAGTTTGTGGGAGTTGGTTTTACTCCTTCCATGATATGGGGTTCAGGGATTCAGTTTGAGTTGTCAGGCTTTGGGGAAAGTGCTTTTATCCACCAAGATGTCAGTCTCCCTACCTCCTCCCCCTCCTCCTCCTCCCACACCCCCCCTCCACACACAACACCCTCAAGCTCCCACCAGAACACACACAGACGCAGGTGAATTAAAAGAAAACAATCTACCAGGACTCTTTTTGATAATTACATTTTTTTTCTGTGTCAGCTATCTAATCTCGAAATTTTTTTTCTTTTAATTGGAAGAAGGAAAAATTAATCAGTTTTTATTCTACTTAGCCATGTGACCTTGGTCTCTGTAAGCCTTAGTTTGCACTTGGTATGATAACACAGAATGACCATTAATTCTGGAAACAAAATGGAGCGTGTTCTTCCATAGATACCCACTTAAATCAAGTAATGATTTCTAAGTCCTGCTTCTAAGAGTAGAACTCTGAAAATAACTCATATATCCAGAATTAATACAGAAGACTAGCCACCTTTAATCCCAGCCCTTAGAAGACTGACAAAGTTGGAAGCCAGCTAGGGCTACATAGTGATACCCTGTCTCAAATAAATAAAAAAACAAAAAAGTATGTAGGAAATGAATGGACTGCAGAATATACATTCATATGGATAAATATTAGAAATGCAATGTTGAGTGAAAAATTGCATTATATATATGATCCTATTTTTATAAAAATAATTGTATAAATGCTGTGGTTTGGACATGGTTTGTACCACCAAAAAAGCGATGTTTGGGACTGGTTGCCAGTGAAAATGAGGTGATGAGGACTCCTTTAAGAAGTGGGGACCAGCCAAGAATGATGGTGCATGGCTTTAATCCCAGCACTCAGGAGGTAGAGGCAGGCAGATCTCTGTGAGTTTGAGGCTATCCTGGTCTACAGAGGGAGTTCCAGGACAGCCAGAGCTGTTACACAGAGAAACCCTGTCTCTAAAAAACAAAACAAACAAACAAACAAACAAACAACAACAACAACAATAAAAAGGTGGGGACCATGGTAGGTGCTTAGGTCATACGGCTATTGCCTTCAGAAGAGATTCAGTCCCATTTCTCAGGAGGAAGTCAGGTCTTTTATATTGGATTAGTCACTGTGATATTGTTGAGTTGGACAGAAGACCTACTACAATTGGCTTCTAGAGCGTGGGTTTGTGCTGTAATCCCTAAAGAGACAAACCTAAATGTTGTTATCATCCTGGATGTCCCAAAAGATCAAAATCCATAGGCTCTAAAATCTTGAGCATAATTCTGAAAAAGTAACAATAGTATTCACTCTAAGACTTTTGCATTTTTAGGAGAATCGTTTAAGAAACATAAAAATACAGCAAAACCCTCATCGGCCATGTTTCACAGTGAGAGCCCACATATTTTCACAAGCATAAACTCCCAGGTAGTCTACAGACAGTCATGTGGATATGACACCGATAAGCAGAGAAGTTGCATTCATAAATGGGCCAAAAGCTAAATGTGTGAATATACAATACTGTGTGGGTAATGCTATCCAGCTTTGCAATGCAGTCATCTGAAACCTAATGAGTTTGATAAAATCATTGAGAAAACCACAACCGGCTATTGAGATGCTTCAGCGGTTAGAGACATGTGCTGTATGGGCCTCATGACCTGAGTTTGATCC